ATTCTCGATGTCTCCCACAAGCAACAGAATGTAATTCTGTTGAGATATGTTGTTCAGAAGGAGAATGATCAGTGGGATGTAACTGAACGTTTCTTGCAGTTTGAAAAATTCAGTGGCAAGACTGGCCATGAAATATCAGAGATGAGAGTAGTGTACCGATGTTTCAACATTTTTCGGGCGTTTGAATCGCTTGTACAATATCTTCAGTGCCAGCCCAGAGAGATGGGCCATTCTCAAAGAAAAGACTGGCTGCTCCCTTCACCGCATGTCTGATACCCGTTGGAGTGTCCGAGTAGCGGCTGTTAAACCAGATGCAAATCACTTACCATCGCTCATAGGGGCCCTGGATAGCATCCTTGCTAGATGCAGCTTGACTAATGAAGTCAGATCAGAGGTCACTGGTCTGAGGAGTTATTTTACATCTTTCAAAGCCATCCTTCTTCTGACTGTCTGGAAAAAATACTGCAGTCCATTGAAGATAGAAACATAATTCTGCAGTCAGGCAAAATTACACTAGATGTGGAAGCAGCCAATATAAAGGCATTGAAGGAAGAAATGCTGGTCTTTCGCAACGCATGGGATGACTTCCTTGCAGAGGCCTCCCTCATCACAGAAGCCACAGATGTGGGCGGCTGTGGCCCAGAGGCAGAGCACGTCGTTTCCTAATCGGAAGGTGGTTGGATCGATCCCCGGTGCCACATGTCGAATTATCTTTGAGCAAGATACTGAACCCCATGCAGTGCATCGGTATGTGTATGAATGAGTTAAATTCTGTTTGATAGGCTGTTAAGTTAAAGGGTGAATGTGGAACATAGTGTAAAAACGCTTTGAGTGGTCAGAAGACTAGAAAGGCGCTATACAAGTACAGGTCCATTTACCGTGCCACAAGTGAAAGAGAAAACATTTTGCAGATGAGAGTCAGAAGAAGAGGGAAACCAACAGGAGACAGAATCAAATCTGTTTTGAAACAGTGTTTTCTATGTGGCCTTACATAACATCAGGGGCGGAGCTAGAGGGGTGGTCGGGGTAGCACTAGCCACCCCTGGAACCTGATTGGACACCCTGGGTGCCACCCCAGTTGATTGACAGGTCACTGCACGTCACGTCGAAAACAGCAAGATTTTTACTGCAAACAGAGAAGGCAGAATAAACAGATAACAATGAAGAGGAAGGGAGTTATTTCCAACTTTTTCATCAGGCACAGACAGACCCCAGCCCAGATATCAGCAGCATGGGGAGCTCCCAACATGAAACTAGCCAGGCAAGTCATTCATTAATTCTCATACCAATGGCATCTTTATTTGATCATTGAGCTTGGGTTGAGTCTTGCGTCTAGTGTCCGTGATGTGCAGCCTTCTCTTTGTTTTGCCAAGACACCGACTTTTCCCACGGGTGTTATTCATTTTCTGAATGAATGACGGAAACTGAAAAGTGAAACTTATGTCCATTTCCTCTGGCCGCTCCGGCAACAGGTTAGCTCAATTTGTCGAGCTGGCGACCTATGAACTGAGTTGCTGCAGCGCCATGGGTTTGAATTTGACTTGCGGTATCCCGGGTTTTTCCTTTATTAGGCCTAGTATAAAGCCATGACCACCCTCTGGCCACCTCTCGTATAAAAGTCTAGTTCCGCCTCTGGATAACATCATCTCTGGCTTGGACACCCGCTTTCAAGCCATTGCAAATATCTGTGATGAATTTGCAGCAATATTGAAAATCAAGGATTTAAAAGATGATCAGATTCACTCAGTTTGCCATTCATTAACAAGCAAATACAAACAGGATCTTAGTGCTAATTTTGAAAGTGAAGTGCAACATTTGAGGTCTGTCTATAGTGCCACATTTCAGACTGCCGTTCTCCCCTTGAACTGCTGAATTACATCCATAAACGGCGGCTGTGGCTCAGAGGCAGAGCAGGTCGTTCCTCAATCGGAAGGTTGTGGGTTTGATCCCCGGCTCCTGGTGCCACATGTCGAAGTATCCTTGAGCAAGATACTGAACCCCGAATTGCTCCCGATGCCGTGCATCGGTGTGTGTGTGTATGAATGTTGTTTCTGTTCGATGGACTTTGCCATCACTGAGTGAATGTGTGTGAAAGGGTGAATGTGGCACGAAGACTAGAAAGGCTATACAAGTACAGGTCCATTTACCATTTAAACTTCAGCTCCAGAGCATTTTGGTGAAGTATGTGTTGCAATCCGAATCTTCTGCACTTTACCTGACTGTCGCAGGTAGACAAAGGGCATTTAGCAAACTAAAACTACTTAAAAACTATCTCAGATCCACAACAACCCAAGAGAGGCTAAATAGCTTTGCTAGACTTTCAATTGAAAGCTAAGCCGACAGTTGGATTTCAAAGAGGTCTTCAGGGAATTTGCCAACAAAAAGGCCAGGCGTTGGGCTTTCTGATCAGACTGACAGGGATATTGCACCATGCAAGCTAGTTAAGCTGTGAACAAACAAGCCAATTTAAACCTAAATTGAGATTAGATGAGGCTTGTTGTTGTTTTCAATATTTATTTTACAACAAAGTATTTCATGTGCTGTTTGTTTTACCTGCACAACATTTAAGTTAAATGCTACATATCTACCTTGGGCTCCACTTTGTGGACTATCTTGAGCCAGGGCACTTTAAGGTTTTTTTGGGGTTTTTTTGCATATCAGTGCTTCATTGTTAGTAAATACAGTAAAATACCCACTACCTATTTGTGGTTAATTGAAAATGTATTTGCAATCAGAGGTGTAATAACGTGTTTTTAAGTAGCTTGTTATGGGTACTATAGCATGCAAATCAGAGAAATGTGAATAAGACAACTTATAATACATAATTTACATAATAATACACTGACTCATTGTTGAGTGGTTAATCGTAAAAAAGAAAACAAATTGGGTGTATTACACGAGGCACCGTCAAGAACACTGAAAAACAGAAAAACAAAGAAAAACATCATAATACACAGTTGTAAAAAATGTGGCAATGAAAAACCTGGGGTAGAGGGGCCTGGGGTAGAGGTAGCCCTGTCAATGATTGCAACCATAAACTGCACTGACACCATCCTTAATTTTATCAGTCAACCAGGTTTCTGTTATAATTTAAATGTTTGGATTGGGTTGTTGGGCCTGGATTCTAATGGAGTCCATCTTTGGTATTAAGCTTCTCACATTCATGTGGATTAATCCAAGACCTCTGCAGCTTGGGAAACATTTTCCCAACAGGTTTTTTTTCTTGACCAAGATCCGTGGCTCTGGTCTGAAACAAGCTTGCGACTTGGGCTTAGTTCCAAGTATAATTGAGGAAAGTTCCTCACATAAAACTGTCAGAAATACAGGTAGAATTTGTCCATGGAAGAGTGATATCAGAGCAACATTTGCCAATCATCCCGGATACTGGATACCTGGATATACCTAAGGCTGATTTTTGTTGGGCCTGGGCCGTGGCAACAGATGTTAAACTCAGAATAAGTTAATTCTTTTTCTTGAGTTCCTCCTGCAAGCAGAAAATGTCATCTGTGACTGTGAGAATGAAAGCTGGCAAGTGAAGTCACATACACAGCAATCTGACTACACAACAAGTTTGATGTGAGCAGGAATTTGTGCTTTAGAACTGCCATGAAACAATCAGAAAATAACATTTTAATTATTTGATTTGTTGCTTTGTTGTTGCTAACGCCGCTCCCTGTCTTTATTCAACCTCCCTTTTTGCTCTTTCTGCCTGTAAATAGTAAATGGACTGTACCTGTATACCACCTTTCTAGTCTTCCGACCAGTCAAAGCACTTTTACTACCTGCCACATTCACCCATTCACACAGTGATAGCAAAGCCCATCAAAAAGAAACTTAACTCATTCATTCATCCACATTTACACACCGATGACACAGCATCAGGAGTAATTTGGGGTACAGTATCTTGCTCTAGGACCCTTAGACACACAGCAGGGGAGGAGCCGGGGATCGAATCCCCAATCTTTCTATTAGTTGATGGTAAATGGTAAATGGACCTGTACTTGTATAGCACCTTTCTAGTCTTCCGACCACTCAAAGCGCTTTTACAGTACGTGCCACATTCACCCTTTCACACACATTCACTCAGCAAAGCCCATCAAACAGAAACTAACTCATTCATACACATTCACACACCGATGCACAGCATCGGGAGCAATTAGGGTTCAGTATCTTGCTCAAGGATACTTGGACACGTGGCAGGAGGTGCCGGGGACCTTCCAACCAACAATCTTCCAATTAGGGGACGGCCCGCTCTGCCTCTGGGCCACAGCTCATCACCTGCTCTACCTTATAGCCGCCCCTAAGAACACACATTCAAGTGGGTAGCCCTAATGTAATAGAGATGGTAATGGCATTTTTTAAGAACCTATACAACCCTTTGACCTGGTCATTGTAAAACCATACACAACTGTTAAAGAGGCTATTATATGCATATAACCTTTAGCCCTGTTTCTAACTACACTCTATGTCCAATTAAACAGCGGGATGTTGAGACATGAGTCTGTTTACTGCCCCAGAACTCAGGAATGTGTAACTGTGACGCTCCAACAGGGATAATACTGTACTACATCTTCAAATCTTTACTCTTTTCTGGATTTAGCAATGAGTGATGGTTGCGTTGAGTCCATTCATAGATGATTTGAGTAGTCAAGCTAGCGTATGGAAAAGTGCTACAGTAAAAACATTAGAACTTTGCTGGAATAACCTTGGGATGCCTGGGTTACTGTAGCAGCACCACCTTGCTGTTCTGTTCTTATAGACACAGTAAATTGTTTTGTGAATTGCTCCCGATGCTGTGCATCGGTGTGTGAATGTGTATGAATGTGTTAGTTTCTGTTTGATGGGCTTTGTCATCGCTGTGTGAATGTGTGTGAAAGGGCAAATGTGGCACGTAGTATAAAAGCGCTTTGAGTGGTCAGAAGACTAGAGGCTCTATACAAGTACAGGTCCATTTAACATTTACCATTTAAATACACTAGTAATAATTAGACATTTTCTACCTGATGAGTGAGAGGTATGACAGCTGGTTAGGCTCTGCCGTCTGTGCGCCTCTGCCAATCCCTGCTGTCCACTGATGGGAAGCTGGAGTCCAGCAATTAATAGGCGGTACAGACTTGAAGAGACAGAGCATGACTTCTTGTCTTCCTGGACCTGGGCTGAGTGGTGATCTGGGTTGGATCCCAGATCCTCCACACTGGTGACTGCCAGGCAACAGTGCTGATCCAGAGGAGATGGGATGCTAGAAGAAGATGTTTCACTTTAGTTAAAAGAAAACAGATATAGATAAAAATTTAAAGATCAAATGGAAAACATACATAAACCTGTCCTGCTGATAATCTGGCATACTGTGCATTTTTAATATTACATTTATTGCTAACAATTGGCCCATAAAACAGGGGCAACAGTCCATTGCTTCATTTTCCATGATGACACTAGGCCCAATCACATCTCTTACTGGGCCGTTTCTTGCCATTCACAACCAAACATCTGTTAAAGAAGGAGGGCGTCAAGATGTACAAGACCGGGTATGAAGAGAAGAAGAATCTACATGCATATGCCACCAAATCACAGATATGTTTGCTGCAAGGGCTGCAGCAGTGGCTTCAACTTGTCTGTCTGTCTGTCTGTATGTCTGTCTGTCTGTCTGTCTGTCTGTCCCCAACTGGTCGAGACAGGCAACCACCCACCTAGAGCCGAAGGATCTGTCCTAGGTTTCTGCCTTTTAACAGGCAGTTTTTCCTTGCCCCCGTCGCCAAGTGCTTGCTCATGGTGGTACTGTTGGGTCTCTGTAAATAATGTTATAAAGAGTTTGGTCTAGACCTGCTCTATTTGAAAAGTGTCCTGAGATAACTTCTGTTATGAATTGGCGCTTTACAAATAAAATTTAATTGAAATTGATATTCAACATCTACGACGTCAGCAGTGCTCGTGTAAAGTCTAAGGAGGAGGCTACCATGGCCACTGCCAGGCAGAGGAGCACAAAAAGGAGCAGGGGAACTGAGGAACAGAGTGAGCAGTAGGAGGAATAGTTTAAGTGATAAGAAGGAAGTAGCATGCAGGGAAACAGAGACCCTCAAGGAGGGCGCAGGCAAAGCAGTGACCTAGGTCCATATAGTATCATATTATTATTAAAATCATTAAGCTAAGGCTTACCATGATGAAGATGTGTGTAAAGGCTGTATAATAGGTTACATCTGTAGCTCTACTGCCCTAAAATGTATGGGTGCTTATGTATTAGCCTATATGGTACATGGAAACAGTACGCATAGGATGGTGTTCTGTTTGACTGATTGTGAAAAACATGCCAGGACGAAATGTAATATTTAAAAGATGAACACAAGGTGATTTCTTTAGTGTTGACTTGGTAACACGCAAAAAATATTTGACATGAAGTGCACTGATGTAATGAAAGCAAACCATATCGAAGGCTAGCATTTGGTAACCTTTAATATATGTAGTTACCTTGACGGAGCTGATGTGTCAGTGCCCCCTCCATGCCATGATAGGGGCCTGTGGCGTCTGGAGATGACTGGACTGCTCCTGGGAAGAAGGAATCCTTGGTCCTCTGGATGTAAGAGAGACTGGTCCTCTTTGCTCCCGTTGTCAGCCTTTGGAGGTCTGATATTCCCCTTTCGTCCAGCCTCACCCTCCTCGGTAGGACTATTAGGAGGTTTGTCAATGGTGTACAAAGCAGAGCTGGAGTGTTGGTTCCAATGGGAGTGATGGGATTGTGTGACAGCCACCCGATGTGTCCTCTTTGTGATTTCTGCTGGTGACAGAAGGAGAAGTGGGATTTGTCCTGAACCAGTCGACTGGTGCTTTTGGGGAAAAAATTCTTCTGGAGTGGCTTATGGAGAGAAGGAGGAGACAGACATAAGTCACACATGTCGTGTCATACATATTTTATATGAGGGATGAGAGGGAGCTTATTAGGTTTTTTTCACCTAGATTTCTCAAGTTGATTTTATCATTTGAGCTGGAAGGCTTTTAATGTGAATTATCTTTGATCAAGCACAGCAGGTATGTAAAATTTATGTTTTTGCTTTAACTGCAGTCTTAAGAATCCCTAGAGGTGCTTCAAAGCTCTGTAAAGCTATTTTGAGAGTGTGGTGGGTCCTACCTGTTGCTGTCAGAGCTGTAGCTACAGATGTTGGTGACTCTGAGTCCACACACCAGCTGACATTTCCAGATCTCTGGAGAGAGGAGGACATGCCCCTGCAGCTTCCCATCTGTATAGAATAGGGGAGATTTCCCAATGACAGAAGCTCTGGTGCAAACGTCGTGGTGCAAGAGTTGGTTGATGAGAAGACAAAAAGCAACTGTGGCAGTGAGTGAGGATTTTTCACTGACTCAAAGAATACAAAATTAAACAAATAAGTATATCTTCAGGCAGCTGATCAATACCAGTCTGTTTGGAGATGTGTGCAGGAAGTTTTATTGTTGCTGCTGTACTCACTGGTAGCTGTTCATAGAGTCTGATCAGGATCATAAAACAACATAAAGACTAAAGTTTAAAGATTACTGCCCTCATTAGGGCCAAGGATAAGATCAGACCAGTCGTGCCTTGTTTATCTTGTGCCCCTATGTTTGAAAAAACGAAGCAGAACTGCCCTCCTGCTCCTATGGTAGATAAAACATGCTTAAGTTCCCTCTAGGATCCAGTGGAGAAAACGTGATCTAGGGTGCTGTTTTACTATAAATGTATCACAACTTTCTGCATGCTAATCATTGACAGTATATCTAATGGACAGAGCTTCTGGGTCTGAAAAGTGAAGCCAAGAAGTGTCTTTAAACCTGCATTCTATGTAAATTCCAGCAGGGGGAGCTCCATTGGCTGAAATAACACAGCGATCCCATTCACTCTGATGGAGAATGAGCTGACTTGATTTATGAGCTCAGTAAACAGTTTCCTGATGAGTTTATGGTCTCAGTCGCTAGTTTCACATCTTCTTCAATACAGCATGATGTTCATTTAGTAAATGATGGTCCCATTTAGAGTAAAATAGACAATAAAGCAGGGTATTCTTTTGGGCGTGGCTACCTTATGATTGACAGGTCAATCTTAGTGAGTCCGTCCAGCACAGCACACCAAACTGCTGATCAAATATGAAGCAAGATTCTGTTAGTGTTGTCTATTTCAAATTGTTTCACAAACATATTTTAGTGTACTGTTTACGTAGCTTTAATACGAAATCAAGCGAGCCGCCATTGTTTCCTGCTACGGACAAGTCAAAATTGCGCAGCCAATGCATCTATGGGAAAGTTCAAAGAAAAATGTTTGTCAGAGATGTTTCATACTAAAGTCCCCTTATTTGCCAAACTTTGTGTGCTTGGAATATATCCTAAATACTTTATACTAACAAAAAGGACTAAACTCAGACTTTGAACTATGCTGAAGAAGAAGTAATACTTTATTAATCACCAATGGGGAAATTGTTTTTTTACTCTTACTTTACACACACAGCCCTGAAATAAAATCATGTGGAGAGATGGTGGGGTGATGGACTGCAACGCTGGGGCATTCCGCAAGTGGTTATGGGTTCGATGCCTTGCTCAAGGGTACCTCGGCAGTGCACAGGAGGTGAAACTGGCAACTCTCCAGCTGCCAGTCCACACTCCATATTGTGCTGGACTTAAACCGGCAACCGTCCAGTTCCCTAGCCAAGTCCCCACAGACTGAGCTACTGCCGCCCCAAAGATTATGGATGCACCATCATTGAGTATGTGGATAAGGGAGCTTTCGGACTCTATTGGTCTGGAAAGACTGACTTACATCACAAAGGGCAGGCGTTAAGACTTTGTTTAGCTGTGGGAGCCTTGCATGAATATAATTAAAGATATAAACAGAAGCTTTTCCTTAAATTACAGTGTAAACACTAAAATAGAAAAAAGTTGTATTCTATGTGTATTCTATCTGATATTGATGCAACTTGAGTGCAGTGGCGGCTCCTGACAAATATCTCAGGGGGGGCAACTGTTGCGATGATGGCTGAGATGACCCGTTCAGTGAGTAAAATAATAATAAATAAAAGTCAGATAGCTAACTTGACAGTGTTACATTGCATTGTTTAATTTGGTTTTCCTGTTCAACCATTAGATGGCAACACCAGACATGAATTACTTACATGTTACATACTGTACAGTATTTTTGCATAGCTATATCAAGTTAAATGTCTAAAACACAATAAATTTGGTTCCACAATAAAACACTTCCACGTGGCCATCAGTAGATACATTGTCATCTACTAGTTTGCCCACGAAATCACTGTTAGCACAGTCTACAATTTATAGCCATCATGGATGCCATAGCTATAACCAAATCAAATCAAATTATACTATCATCAAAACTGTAATTAATCAAATCTTTCCAGAACATATTCAGTATATATTTGGCTGGCAATTTGTAATCAATACAACTATTTACAGGGGTAGCAGAACAGAGCGTTAGCCACTTCACGACCCTGCTCGTACCAGTTCTGGGAAAATCCGCGACTGTATGCTTTCCCCGCTTTTGTTGACACCTGCTTGATATTTAAATTGGGTCTGGGTGGTCCCAATTCTTTAATAGCCAATTTCTCAACATTGCTTCGAGGACTGAACGGTAATTCCCTCAATGAAATGATGGAGTATGACGGAATTACGTTGGGGCAAGCCCTCCCGGAGCCCATAGAAATGAATTGTAGGGTCCAACATTTGATTAAAAGGATCTCAACATGTAAGTCTATGAAATCGCCCCAAGGGGGCGGGGCTGCCTGTTGGAAAGTGACGTTCAGTCACAGCGATATTCAGGCTGCTGATTGGACAATAATATTAAGACCTTTATATACAGTCTATGATAAAGACAAAATAAAATAAAAAAATATTTTTTCTCTCTTTTTTTGTGGGGCTGAAGGAGGGCAGTGCACTATTGCCCACTGTGTGTATATGGGTGTGTGTCTGTGTAATGTATGTATTTGTAGTGTCAAACTCTTGTCTTGTTAATGTCTTTATTGTTGATGGGATGTTAAAAAAACAAGAAAATGACAATAATCATTGTGGGGGGGGGGCCCTAACAGATGTGTTGATTCCATGAGAGAGGATGAATTTGGCCCTTTGTTTTATCATATGAAAGTAGGTGTGCTATGTAGCGCATCAATTCGACAGCTTGTTCACACCCCAAACGGCCACACTATGGTGATTCACACAGACCTCGAGAGTCGAGGTGTGGAGTGATGGGCTGCCACGTTAGCAGCGCCCCATGAGCAGTTTCTTTTACTTTTCAAAGTAAAAGCACCAGATACTTTGTTTTACAAGCTGTAGATCCAATACGAAGCAAGCAATCAATACACAATCTAATAGAAAAGCAGTTAACTTAACGTGAACTTTTGGAGATGAGAGGTTTTAGAAAAGTTTGTAATCACACCTTTCAAATCCATAATGGCACTCCCACTGTGAAGCAACACAATCACAGATTTGTCAAGAAATGTCACACAGATCTGCAGTTGTGCAACTCAGAATTGTGGACAATGGGGCACCCGGTTGCTGCAGCGGCCCGGGTTCGGATCCGACCTGCGGCCCTTTGCTGCGAGTCATCCCCTGTCTCTACCCACCTTTCCTGTCAATCTACAGCTGTCACTATCTAATAAAGCCAATAAAAGGCAAAAAAAAAAACTTAAAAAAAAAAAAAAAGAATTGTGGACAATGTGTTTTACTGTGAGCATTTTTTTTTCTCAAACAAAAGGCCACAATTTCATTTGTCATTAATAGTATTTTTTGGTGCTTTTTATTGCCTTTATGAGAGCGACAGCTCAAGATAGACAGGAAGGGGGGGGCAGAGAGAGGGAGCCACACAGCAAGGGGCCGCAGGTTGGATTCAAACCCTGGGCTGCTGGAGGAGGGACTCAGCCTTGGTACATGGGTCCCCAGCTCTACCCACTGAGCTAAACAGGCGCCTGTCATTAATAGCATTTTCCACTCACAAATTACAAAATTTGAGTGCCCTGCCTTGTACTACTGACATTTAAATTGTATGAGTGAAAAAGTGTGTTGCTGCAGAGGCGAGGGGCCCCGATTTTAAACTTCTGCTTTTGGTTTTTAACCTCAGCCTGGGAACACACAACTGTCTACTGGGGGATTTCAGGCTGGATTCTTTCAAATCTCTAAAACACAACGCAGGTATTCAAATTCAATAAATGTGGGTTCTTATTTCTTTGCATAAAATAAAACTTCTTTGAGCTGAGCTCTTATAATGTTTATGTGTCTTGACTTGAATATAAACTTGAACGTAAACTCTTGTACTTGTTCTAACCCTATTTCCCAGACAGTATAATGTGACAGTACACTCACAGTATCGTCACGGTTTCATATCACAAGTAATATTACAGTGAGAAACACCCCACTTCAACCACACTGACTGAGAAAATCACCATATATTTGTTTGGTAGTTTGTAAATGGTGAATGAACTGTACTTGTATACCACTCAAAGCACTACATTCTCCCATTCACATATGGTGTGATGACAAAGGCCATCAGAAACAAACTAATACTCATTCACACACACACACACACACACACACACACACACACACACACACACACACCCCAATGCACAGCATCCTGCTCAAGGACACCTTCGACATGCAGCTAGGAGCCAGGGATCAATCTGCCCACATACTGATTAGTGGATGACCCACTCTACCTCTGAGCCACAGCCGCTGATGATCACAGCTGTGATAACTGATTTTCCCATCTTGTGCCATCATCAGGTAAAATTTTGTATTATCTGTAGAACTTCTGACATTCCCATCAGCCTCGGCTGTACTAGTGCGCAAACACACAAAACTAGGATAGTAAATATGTAAATATTATACCTGCTAAACATCAATGCTAGCATTGCCTCAAGCTTTTAGCCTTGCAGACACATTTTGTAGCAATGACTGTGATGGGAGCAAAGTGAGTATGTTATGAGGGGTGGAACATTTCAATATAACACACACCAAAGGCCTCACTAGCACATGAGGGGTTACACGGGAGTCATGTGGTGTGTGTTTCATTTAGGTGATGTTAACAAGTTAAAATGATTCCCTATGCCACATCTATGCTGTACTTTATGCTGCATGATCACATACACTACACCAACAATACTACACTACTCTAATGTCCTCATAAAGGTGAAAGTTAAGTAAGAAAACCGTTGTTAATGATGACACCAGTGGCCATTAAGTGAACTGCAGTCAGCGTCCTGTTGCGCGCTGGCACTCGTACACAGTGTGTAGCAGCAAGTGAGCAAGCATCCTCTTGGGCATCAGACAAATGTGACATACAATAGACTGAATGCTGGAAAATGAATTACATTCATTCATTACATCATATTTAGAGTAATGTTACTATCTGCAGGTTCCTATGCTTGGACTATTGACTACTACTAGTGAGTCCTGTCACCATACAGCAGTAAAACGCATTTCATACAGAATTTGCCCACATTAGCAAGCAATCTAATGTTATCCTGCTAAAAGCACAGTCAGACAATATTTTCACAAGCTTTGCAGTAATGGTAGCTTTGACTTTGGTGTATGTGTTGGGGTGGTTATTGGTCGTTCTCTGACTCCATTTATGAGCTAACGTTAGCTAGTGTTGTGCACAGTCGACACTGTAGGGAAGCAGAGAATGAAGGCAGTCTGGAGAAATTAACGTCAGATCTTTTGGATTTTCAGTGAAATATATATATATATATATATATATAAACACATATAATCAGTGAACAGGCAGCAGTGAAAGTTGGGGAAGGTCTAATTTTGAATTCACGTTACAACCCCCACCCTTCACTGGCAATAAAAGGTGATTAAAAATTTCAATTCTTCAGAATCTTACATATTAAACCTTTAATAATAAAAGTATCCTCTGGTACAGGCTACTTTAGTCATCTGTAACTTGTACAACCATTGTGTTTGACCTTTTTATATATGTCAGATAAATCAAACAAAGCTTTGAGAGATAAAAGAAAAGCAAAAAAATAAAAAAAGTTTTATTCCGTTTTTTAAAATTTGGTTTAACATGTAGCCTAAGTATAAAGTTATTGATCTTACTCAAGAGGCTCATTTAAACCACCTAACAGAGCTTCCTGTGTGCAGTACAGAAATACTCTCTGATTGTGAATGATAAAGTACCAACATGTTTCCTATTTCAGTAAAAGGACTAGAGAACAAAGCAACACCTACCTGAACGCAAACAGGTAAAAACATATCAAAAATCGGATAATTAATCAAGCTACTCACCATTTTGTCCTAAACTGAAGCAGAGGCTGAAGGGACTAAAACGACCACGATCCACCGAAAACTGTAACAGAGAAAGGAAGAGAGGCGGTTGGTTATCAACACTTCCTGTATTTACCAGTGGTTTGTACTTTCCGTGGCTAAGCAGTCAGCAGTGTTTCTCCTGAGAGAAAGGCCTGAACTAATGAAAATGAAGTTAGAATTACAATTTCATTTGCAATGTTTATGAATTATTTCCTTTTTATTTTATTTTCTATATTTTTCTATTTTAAACGACTTTAAACAAAACACTATTTTCAGTGACAGGCAGTTTACTCATTCTGCACCATCTAAGCTTTTATTTTTTAAATCCATCACACAAGTCCTAAATAAATTCATCCTGTGGACAAAAAATCCTGTGGTGATTTTTCTGAGGACCACAATAGGCTTGGTATAAATGTACTCAAAAGAAAAGAGGATGTGAGAAAATATAACTCAAAATAGACATTTAAAAGAGTGACTTTTCCAGTACATCCACATCCTCACAGACAAAAACACAGCTAGTTACTGTACATGTTAAAAGGTTATAACACTGCATCTTCCTCAAAGAGGGAAAAAAGAGGCTCGTTCAGCAGAAATATTTGCCATAAAGCGTCTCAGCTCAGCGACTGATGGCTGTCACGTCAGCTGGCAGCTGATAGAGAAGAAAGAGGAAGTCTAAGTATCAGTGGGTTTGATTTACCTTCATGTTTCACAGGAGAAAAAGTAGAAGCAGCTCAGATTCAGTCTTTCTGAGAGGAAATGTGTCCATGCACAAAAAAGCTGACAGTAGACATGCTTCATTATAGACTTGAATATGTAAAGTAAATGAAAAAAAAAAATACAAGTAATGTTGTTGTGTTTTTACATACTAGAAGACATCAGGAGAGGTCACCCAGCCCCAAAAATAAACTAAACCTGACTACAGTATGTACTTGTAATGTAAATGTCTGGAATCTGAGAGCTGAGAGCTGCGAGCCGAGATGGACGGTAAATCAGAAAAAGGAAAAGAGAAAACAAACAAACAAAATCACATAAGGTAACATTCAGGGCTTGCACATAAATAAAAACAGACACTGATGAGGACAGTCAGTATGTGTAACAATATCATTATTACCTCTATTATGACTGTCCTCTGACTGTATGGATCCCTATCAGCACCGGGTTGATGTCCAGGTGGCAGAAACAGTAAGACTTTGTAAGAGCGTCAGTAAAACTTGGACTTTTTTACTCAAGAGCAGCATGCACTGATTCTGTCCAGCAGATGTCGCCATTTACTGAGTTTCCACTGCGGTTTTCATTTCCCTGCTTTTATTTATTTATATATTTTTTTACAGCCGCACAGTGCAGTGCGCAGCCGCAGTGAATGAGCTGCGTCAAGTGAAAGAAACGCAACTTACACCGGAAACACAGAAGGCTTGTCTTCAAAATAAAATATGCATTTTAACATAAATTAAAATCCTTTCAAGTTAACCGGTTTTAAGGGTCCAAAATAAAAATGGATATTTTAAAATGTATTTACTAACCTAATTTTAGGGCACATTTCTGATCAATGAGTGAATCAAAGCAGAGGCACAAACTGGGGCCATATATTATCATCCCACACAACAGTAGCTGATAATTATCTTTTTTTATCCTGAGAAGATAGGTGGGTTACTCACACACAATGGTTATAATGCAAATCAAAGGAAGCACGTGTCTACCTCCTGTGTCAATAATATTGTAATGTGAAAAATAAAAATGTTTTAAAAATGTAAAAATTGTGAATCTAAATGTCAACACAAATTCAATTCAATTCAATTCAATTTTATTTGTATAGCGCCAATTCATAACAGAAGTTATCTCAGGACACTTTTCAAATAGAGCAGGTCTAGACTGAACTCTTTATAACATTATTTACAGAGACCCAACAGTACCACCATGAGCAAGCACTTGGAGACAAGGGCAAGGAAAAACTGCCTGTTAAAAGGCAGAAACCTAGGACAGATCCTCCGGCTCTAGGTGGGTGGTCGTCTGTCTGGACCAGTTGGGATGAGAGAGAGAGAGAGAGAGAGAGAGAGAGAGAGAGAGAGAGAGAGAGTATTGGCAATAGCAATCTAGCAGGACCATGGCAGGAGGCTCCACCAGGATCGACAAGAACCTGCGAATGAGTTTATGTTTGTAAATATCCAGTACAGAAAGTGCAGTTTGTGTTAGTGAATATTTAAAAACTTTAATCTACTAGTCGATATTTTATTTTGAAATTTCAAGATCGGATGTCGCACCGCTTCTTCATCTTTGGCGCTTCCCGCACCGCGCAGACGGGGAGACTAGGCGGCGGCGGCGAAAATCGGGGAGGAAACAGTACGCACAGCACAGCACGCCTGAAGTCGGTGTCCCGCTGTTTGTCCGAACGTTAGCTAACCCCGCGCGCTCTCTCGTTCGCTCTCTCGGATATAACCAACGCACGCACCCGGAGGACAGCGGACAGAGGGGGGAACATTATGGCGACGTTGGGACCGGAGTCGGCTCGTCCTCCTCTTTCCCAGCTCGTTTCTTCTCAGTCGATCCAGAGTCACATCGGCAGCGCCAACCTTCCGCCCAACCGGGGCTTGGAGCGGGCGCTGGAGGAGGCAGCGGCCAGCGGCGTCCTCAACCTCAGCTCCCGAAAACTGAAGGAGTTTCCCCGGACAGCCGCCAACCACGACTTGACGGACACGGTGGAAGCAGGTAGGGGTCTCTCTGGCATCTCTCCCGGGTTAGCCCTAAAAAATAGAACCGGGTAACACCGGTGCTGGGCGGTAACGACCCTATGTTACAGCTGCGTAGATACTTTGATCATTGCTCTTTAATGACAGTGCTGCCATTTCCGTTACTTGTTTAAAAGAGTGGGTTTACTCATTGAGCCACACTGGGAGTTGAACCCCCAACCATGGTGCTGTTAGAGGGTTTCCTATTGGCTCATTTGTGTTACTTTAACCTGAATGAACCTACATACACAACTTGTGCTTCATGTGCTCCGGATGGACTGTTGAATTGAAGTCCTCCATGGAGTACTGGTGGACAGTTGTGTGCTCTGTCACTGCACACAGGGCTGAAGACACTCATGGATAAGGTCCTTATGTTTCCAGCTTGCAGTAAATCTGCAGTATCTGAGTGTTCAGAGGGCCTGCAGTGGAATTCCCCACCACTTCCTTTTAATCCATTTACAGCTGTAAACAGGCATGGAGAGCAGGGTGCACCCAGACTGAGTCCGTCTGTGCTGTTTTATTGACAGGAAAAGAGTTTACAGATCTTTTAGAACCCAGTTTAAATTATATTTCCTAGTGAAAGGTGTGTTTTTGTGCAGTAATCGGGGTTCTTATGTGTCCTGGACATTAAGAGACTAGTTTTCCAGTCATGTAAACAACAGGACATCCTGGATATAATCGACATTGTCCTGGATAAATGTAATTGTATTTTAGCCTCTTCTGTGGTATAATTAATGTTATGTTGAGAGGAAATTATAATCAATTCAGAAAGTGGGAAAATTGGTTGTGGTGAGAATGGCCAAGCGTGCCACAAAAGCGAGTGTCCCTTAAACAATGACCACCTAGCTGACCACTGTTTGTGAGTAAGTCAGTAAGTGCTGTCCTGTATTGACAAGAACATGGTTTCTCAGGGTGAGTGGTCACCCTAAGTAAAAAAAAAAAAAAAAAAAGATTTCTCAAAGCACAGGTCGTTGTTTATATCAGTGGTTTCTCCGCTATAAAGAGGCTGGTGTTGGTTTGGTCCCCTGTACACAGTGCGCTGTAACAATATGGTCAAACCATCAATCCATCAACAGTGTGCTAATACATGGGAAACTGCACTGGATTGTTTTTTCTTGTCTTTGGTATGTTGAATTCATGAAACCATGTGAAGCTGTTAGGTCTGAACTTTGCTGACTGTACACATTAGTGGCTCTGTCAGCTCGCTGTACCTGTTCCCATAAACTTTCATTCAGGACCCGGAGGATTCTTGCAAATATTTTAGACGATGTAACAGTGAAAAAGTCCACTGATCTGGATGGAGTCTACTCTCTTCACAGCAGCATACATATCAAGGTGAGCTGTGTTGCAGTTGGACTGGAAAGTCTCAATGACGTTCTGTCTCTGTACTTCACTCTCTAACTTTGTTTATATAAACTAAAGAAGAAATGGGGCTTACATAACCACAGTGAATCACGTTTACAGAAACACACATAGCAGCATGAAGGAAAACAGTGGAAAGGGCAGCAAAGTAAGAGTACAGGGTTGTGTGTGTTTGCATTCATACTGCTGATTGCTGATTTTCTGTTGGTGTTTTTTGAATCCCAGAAACGATCAGATTAAAAGCGACGTTAGCTCAGCTTGTTTCTCTGATAACTTAAGATCCAGACATCCGATGACTAAAATCCTTCGTGGATGGTAAAAATGTGGCTTCAAACTGAGAGTTGGTGTCCCCGGTACAGATGCTGATGAGTCGGACTGCATTTGTCCAGAATTACAATGAGGCTCAATGGAGAGCAAGAGATGGCGATAAAAAGAACTGGTTCCAAATGTTCTGGCCCATCTGATTTGTATGCCTCCAAGCTTATCAATTAATTTGTATTTATGCCGGCATGTTTTTCTGACAGTAGTGCAGTGTTTCCCATTCATTACCTAGAATATGGCAGCCCACGGTCTAATTTGTTCCACCACTGTTTCCTAATGAACCCAAAATATTTTTACACTTTTTACACATCTCGATTAAAAAGTATTTGGATTCACTAAATAAAATGAATTATATCACCTCCGGAGAGAGAGAGAGAGAGAGAGAGATAGAGAGAGAGACACAAAGAGAGATACAGAGAGAGATACAGAGAGAGAGAGCTGGGACCTGAAATGACAATGATGCAGGATGAGGGTTTTAGTGTCCAGTCAACAATGTCAACAGAATCAGTAAAAGGAGTAAATGACAAGTCTCAAACTTGCCTTTGGTAGTGAGTGACAATGTATATTCAGTGGCCACTCTAAAGTCTACTTTTATGATGGCTATCATGTTCAGTTTTTGTTGACACTGTCATAAAAGTGTTAATAAAATATACTGTATGTTTTGCATTGAGTTCATTACTATTTAAGATAAGGTACTCGACTACCCTATATTCCGAGTTGTTTTTATTATTTTGACCAAGTACAAAGAATTAGAAGTATTGAACCACTTTTAAGGAAACATATTATTAAATGTACACATTTCCAACAATGTAAAAAAACTGACCATTATGAATACACAGGCAAACTCTTGTAGATTCAAGTGATGAGCCAGTGGTGTTCCAGTAGTTTGATCATATAATATACTACTCACTGAAAAAGTAGGATACCCTGCAACCTCAACCCCATTGTTCCACCCTTGGTGTGGAAGAGGGTCAGAATTCTGGTAGTGTCAAGATGCAAATCATCCTGGATCTAAAAGACAAATAATGAAAAAACCTTTAAAGCCACAATTTTACTTCACTCCAGTTTACTTAAAAAAAACTAAAAATTAGTACCTAAATCATAATTAATCACCTCTGCAAGTAGGAATGTTTATTCCTAAATTTGTGCACTAATGCAGTCAGTCAGCTAACTAGCTTGTTAGAGGGGAACATATTATGCAGAATGCACTTTTCTAATGTTTGTTCACACATATTTGGGTATTTGGGTGGCCTACCAACGCAGAAACTGAAAAAAGCATAGCACCACCTCCCCTCTGACTAACCACCGCCCACAGACAAGAGCTGCCTTTGCTGCTGTCCGCCATTTTTGCCCTGCAAGCCCTGGCTGTTCTTGAAAGCTAAGTGCTGCAGCTGCCCTGATGTTTGCTGCAGGGACCAGCACAGAAGTTTGCACGTCCTCCCATCATCAGAGGAAGATACATTTTTTATTTCGGACTAATTGTTTACTTTTGAAATGGGACTGAAATGTTCTCACAAGGACTACAACTACTTTCTCAAATTAGTACCAGCTCATGGACCGATACGGACTGTCTGTCACCCAACTTCACACTTGGAAGCTCTAAGTTTTTCTCTATTTAATGTTGTTTTACTGTTTATTGTGTAGGTTAGCCTGCTGGACTTGGCATTAACATGCTGTGTAGCTAATGTGGCTAACATTGTAGTCACACAGGCTGGGCTGATGTCAGACTTTCTGTTGTAATATGAGGAACAGTCAGAAGCCTTGTGAGAAGCTAGAAGATACCAGGAGTAGTAGTTTGGATGATGGTGATTGTTTTTCATGTTGCATTTGTGTAACTTTCTACTGATGTGCTAACGTTAACTCAGCCAGCTAGCTGAAGGCCTTCTTCTCTGTTCAGGTGTGTGTTTTGCTGCATGTAAATTCACGTGATGGACGAGCACCGGAGATAAAGACAGAGCTATGTGTAAGGCAGAAATGTTCAAACTGCAGGAATTCATTTGTTTATTAAGGCTGTGTAACTTTGATTAGCACAGAGAAGCTGTAGTGGCTCTGTTCATGAAGTAAAACCGTGACTAATATAAACCGTTAGCGTTACTGCAGTTACAGTAATAGATTACTAAGGAGTATTACTAAGTCCGATGTCGGACTTTATGTTGTAATATCAAGGGAGAATCACAAATTGTGTAACTTTCTACTGACTGCTACTGTTAGCTAACGGAGCATTAGCTTTGGCTTTATACTGAAGCCCCTCCAGTGTGTGTGTGTGTGTGTGTGTGTGTGTGTGTGTGTGTTGCTGCTGCTGCATGTAAGTTCACTTGATAAATGAGCACCAAAGTTAACAATAGAGCTGCAGTGAGAGAAATGGTCAAACTGCAGGAATGAATTTGTTTGGTAAGATTGTATAACTTTGATTAGCACCGAGCAGCGTGCTAGGCCTCGTCTGTGAGCTCACTGTTGCAGGTTACTATAGTTACTGAGTCTGCTGTGTTACTTTATGTTGTAATTTTTATGTTACTTTATGTTAGCCTAAATGAATCCACCCCCCCAGTCATATTAATACTCACATTCCTCGAGGCACAGGCCGAGGAGGTGGAGTGGCAGCCATATATGATTCGAGCGTTTTAATGGACCCTAAACCTAAACTAAATTATAATTCATTTGAAAGCCTTTCTCACCCAAACTGGAAAACACTGCAGCCAGTTCTATTTGTTATAGTGTACTGCGCTCCTGGACCGTACTCTGATTTTATATCTGAATTCTCAGAGTTTTTATCAAGTTTAGTCCTTAAATCAGATAAAGTAATTATTGTAGGTGATTTTAATATTCATGTTGACAATGACAGCCTTAGTAATGCATTTATATGATTAATAGACTCCATTGGCTTCTGTCAGAGTGTAAATAAACCAACTCATTGTTTTAATCACACTCTTGACCTTGTTTTATCATATGGCATTGATATTGAACATTTAATAGTCTTCCCACATAATCCTTTCCTATCTGACCATTATTTAATAACTTTTGAATTCATACTATTAGATTATAAGCCATTAGGCAAAACTTCCTACAGCAGATGTCTATCTGACAGTGCTGTAGCTAAATTTAAGGAGGAGATTCCTTCAGTGTTTAATTCAATGCCATGTCTGAATTTAACAGAGTCCTACAATAACTTTAGTCCCTCTGAAATTGATAATCTTGTCGATAGTGCTACAGGCTCACTACGATCAACATTAGACTCTATCGCTCCTATAAAAAGGAAATTATTAAAACATAGGAGACTAGCACCTTGGTACAACCACC